GATAAGAATTCAGGAGACCATTCAACCAGAATGGGTGTATTAAAGAATCCTACACCTGCCTTATGCGTGATTTGAATTGAAAAACTTATGACATGTATTTAATCTAAAAGTGGCTATATGTTCCTGTATAAAGACACATATTAGAAGTATACGAATGAATATTCTGTATTTCTGTACAGCAAATTTAGATAAATGTTTTTGGCACTTCAGACAAATAATAGTCTGTATCATGGAATATGATGGTCTTTACCTATATATTCTTACAAAGGGAGCTAAGTATGTTGTCACTAAAAGAAGACGGGTTTAGGAGTAATGCAGACATTGGCTTGAATCCTCCCTTCGCCCTTCAATCATTCTGCCTTCACAGACAGCTAAGAAGAAGCCCACACATGTCTGAATCTTCGTCTTATGCTGCACAGTGAATGATAATAACATGTAAAACACCACGGTGTTGCAAAGATAAAAAACAATAATAAAGCTTTGGTACATAGTAGGCACTCAGTAAGTGGTAAATATTTATTTACATAAATATCTGTTGTGGTTTTTCAGTCTCTACGCCTTGTCTGACTCTTTGTGACCCCATGGACTGCAGCACGTCAAGCTTCCCTGTCCGTCACCATCTCCCAGCGAAGAGCAAACTCATGTCCATTGTGTCAATGATGCCATCCAACCATCTCATCCTCTGTTGCCTGCTTCTTCTCCTGCCCTCCATCTTCCCCAGTGTCAAGGTCTTTTCCAATGAGTCTGCTCTTTGCATCAGGTGGCCAAAGTATTCAGGAGCATTGGAGCTTCAGCTTCAGCATCAGTCCTTTCAATGAATACTCAGGGTCGATTTCCTTTATGATTGACTGGTTTGATCTCCCTGCAGTCCAAGTGATGCTCAAGAGTCTTCTCCAACACCGCAATTCAAAAGCATCAATTCTTCAGCACTCAGCCTTTTTTATGGTTCAACTCTCACATCTGTCCATGACTGCTTGAAAAACCACAGCTTTGACTATACAGACCTTTGTTGGAAGAGTGATGTCTCTGCTTTCAATACGCTGTCTAGGTCTGTCATAGCTTTCTTTCCAAGGAGCAAGCATGTTTTAATTTCATGGCTACAGCCACTGTCTACAGTAATTTTGGAGACCAAAAAAATAAAATCTGTCACTGTTTCTACTTTCCCCCCATCTACTTGCCATGACATAATGGGACTAGATGTCATGATCTTAGTTTTTCAAAATATTGAGTTTTAAGTCAGCTTTTTCACTCTCTTCTTTCACCCTTGTCAAGATGTTCTTCAGTTCCTCTTCACTTTCTGCCATTAGAATGGCATCACTGGCATATGTGAGGTTGTTGACGTTTCTCCTGGCCATCTTGATTCCAGCTTGTGCTTCATCCAGCCTGGCATTTCCCATGATGTACTCTGCATGTAAGTTAAATAAGCAGGGTGACAATATGCAGCCTTGATGTACTCCTTTCCCAATTTTGAAACTGTTTCACTGTTCCTTGTCTGGTTCTAACTGTTGCTTCTTCATCTGCATACATGTTTCTCAGAAGGCAGGTTACGTGGTCTGGTATTCCCATCTCTTGAAGAATTTTCCACAGTTTGTTGTGATGCACACAAAGGCTTTAGCATAGTCAATGAAGCAGATGTTTTTCTGGAATTCCCTTGCTTTTTATATCCAATGGATGTTGGCAATTTGATCTCTGGTTCCTCTGCCTTTTCTAAATCCAGCTTGAACATCTGGAAGTTCTTGGTTCACATACTGTTAAAGCCTATCTTGAAGGATTCTGAGCATTACTTTTCTAGCATATGAAATGAGTGCAACTGTATGGTAGTCTGAACATTCTTTGGCATTGCCTTTCTTTGGGATTGGAATGAAAACTGACCTTTTCCAGTCCTGTGGCCATTGCTGAGTTTTCCATTTGTTGACATATTGAGTGCAGCCATTAGCAGCATCATCTTTTAGGATCTGAAATAGATTAGCTCGAATTCCATCACCTCCACTAGTTTTGTTTATAGTAATGCTTCCTAAGGCCCACTTGACTTCCCACTCCAGAATATCTGGCTCTAGGTGAGTGGCCACACCATCATGGCTATCTGGGTCATTAAGACCTTTTTTGTACAGTTCTTCTGTGTATTCTTGCCAACTCTTCTTAATCTCTTTTGCTTCTGTGAGGTCCTTGCCATTTCTGCCCTTTACTGAGACCATCTTTGCATGAAATGTTCCCTTGATATGTGCAATTTTCTTGAAGAGATCTCTAGTCTTTCCCATTCTATTGTTTTCCTGTATTTCTTTGTATTTTTCACTTAAGCAGGCTTTCTTACCTCTCCTTGCTATTCTCTGGAACTCTGCATTCAGTTGGGTATATCTTTCCTTTTCGCCTTTTCTTTTCTTGGCTATTTGTAAGGCCTCCTCAGACAACCACTTGTCTTCTTGCATTTCTTCTTTGGGATGATTTTGGTTACTGCCTCCTGTACAATGCTATGAACCTCCATCCATATGAACATATTTTGCATGTAGGTGCTTCCTACTTCCAAATTCCAAAAATTCAACAAAATTAGAGGAGGAAGATCAGATATTAAACTTGCAACTACATGCATAATTTCATAAGGTAACCTTTTACGTGAATGAACAACTGTATTATGGGTGCCCAATTTTAAGTTATTCTTCAATTTTTTAGTGCTGAACTTTGGAAAAGGTCTCTGAAATAAGAGAATTTAAGCTTCATATCTTTTATTTCCTTTAAAATCATGTCAAGATATCTATCTATGTCTGTATTTATGTCTATATTTTCCCCTTCTCGCTGCTTACTCTCCTGTTGACAGAAATCTTATTTTCATATTGTATAATTCATCATGGCCAAAATAACTCCTCCAATGAAAGAATTCCCAAATGAAGCTGAGAGAGACGGTTTATAAATCTGAATGGTTAAGGATCCCAGGCAATAGGCCAATGCTATAATAGTAACTTTGTAATTGATCTTGTGTTCCTATTGTTTAGTGGGTAAGTTGTGTCTGAATCTTTTACTACTTCAAGGATGGTAGCCTGCCAGGTTCCTCTGTCCTTGGGATTTTCTAGGCAAGAATACTGACCCAGGGATCAGTCACAGCTTCTGCACTGCAGGAGGATTCTTTAGCACTGAAACACCAGGGAAGCCCAACTGTTCAGTATCTACATGGAAAACATTTTCTCAGAGTCATTTTGCTGAATCATAGACCTACTGTGGTTCATTGTGGTTTATTTCCATATTGAAAGTGAAAGGTTTTTTTGGCATCTACTTCTGCTTTACTGACTATGCCAAAGCCTTTGACTGTGTGGATCACAACAAACTGTGGAAAATTCTTCAAGAGATGGGAATACCAGACCACGTGACCTGACTCCTGAGCAATCTGTATGCAGGTCAGGAAGCAACAGTTAGAACTGAATATGGAACAACAAACTGGTTCCAAATTGGGAAAGAAGTACGTCAAGGCTCTATATTGTCACCCTGCTTACTTAACTTATATGCAGAGTACATCATGAGAAGTGCCGGGCTAGATGAAGCATAAGCTGGAATCAAGATTGCTGGGAGAAATATCAATAACCTCAGATATGCAGATGACACCACCCTTATGGCAGAAAGCAAAGAAGAACTAAAGAGCCTCTTGATGAAAGTGAAAGAGGAGAGTGAAAATGTTGGCTTAAAACTCAACATTCAAAAAACTAAGATCATGGCATCGGGTCCCATCACTTTATGGCAAATAGATGGGGAAACAATGGAAATAGTGAGAGACTTTAATTTGGGGGGCTCCAAAACCACTGAAGATGGTGACTGCAGCCACGAAATTAAAAGATGCTTACTCCTTGGAAGAAAAGTTAAGACCAACCTAGACAGTATATTAAAAAGCAGAGACATTACTTTGCCAATAAAGGTTCATCTAGTCATCTATGGTTTTTTTCCAGTAGTCATGTACAGATGTAAGAGCTGGACTATAAAGAAAGCTGAGCACCAAAAAATTGATGCTTTTGAACTGTGGTGTTGGAGAAGACACTTGAGAGTCCCTTGGACTGCAAGGAGACCCAACCAGTCCATCCTAAAGGAAATCAGTCCTGAATATTCATTGGAAGGACTGATGCTGAAGCTGAAACTCCTATACTTTGGCCGCCTGATGCGAAGAACTGACTCACTGGAAAAGACCCTGATGCTGGGAAAGATTGAAGGTGGGAGAGAAGGGGATGACAGAGGATGAGATGGTTGGATGGCATCACCGATTCGATGCACATGAGTTTGAGTAAACTCCGGGAGTTGGTGATGGGCAGGGAGGCCCGCTGTGCTGCAGTTCATGTAATCACAAAGAGTCGGACATGACTGAGTGACTGGACTGAACTGAACTGAAAGTGAAAGTTAGTTAGTTGCACAGTTGTGTCCAACTCTTTGTGATCCCATGGACTGTAGCCCGCCAGGCTCCTCTGTCCATGGAATTCTCCAGGAAAGAATACTGGAGTGGGTTGCTGTGCCCTCCTCCAGGGGATCTTCCCGACCCAGGGGTTGAACCTGCACCTCCGGGCATTGGCAGCCGGGTTCTTTACCACTAGCACCACCTGAGAAGCCCAAGTGTGCAAATGTGTGGGAAGTACTTGGCCTCAGCAGTAAAGAACCAGCCTGCCAATGCAGGAGATGCAGGTTTGATCCCTGGGTCGGAAAGATCCTCTGAAGAAGGAAATGGCTACCCACTCTAGTATTCTTACTTGACAAATCCCATGGCCAGAGGAGTGTAGTGGGCTACAGTCCATGGCATTGTAAAAGATTTGCACATGGCTTAGCAACTAAACAACAACAGCAGCAAGTAAGTACTTTAGTGATTGGCTGCCCGAAAAACTTAACAAGGAACACTCGATACATCCTGACAACAAAGGCAAATGATTTGCTTTACGGGTTTCTTAGAACCATGCTTCTTCCTCAGTGCAAGTTAAGGATCATCCGTGTTTCACCCCTGATGATGTGTGCTCTGCCCCAAGCCCTCTTCCTTTTACCTGCTGTTGTAGGTCCAGGCAAAGGGGCGGCTTTTCTTCTCCGTTTGATGTCTCCTGTGCACAGAGATCCTAAATGCATGCTTGTTTGCCTACAAGTAATTATCAGAAAAAAACTATTAACAAAGGAGAAAAAAAATGACACATAAATACACAGCTTGTATAATCTGAACCTAAATCAAAACATTCTCAACAAAGATGGAGCAGCCTAGCCAAACCACCAATCTTGTTTATATCGAAACATAATTACGTTTGTTGACAAGCGTTCAGCCGCTAAATGCGCCATCATAAATTGTTACTGGAATGAGTAATATAAAAGGAATGCTTTTTAATTTTCAAAACTGGCAATCTTTCTGGCTCAACATAAAATCAAGCACTGTTGCTTCTGACAGGAAAATAGCTAAGATTAATTATCTAAAGAGATCACAATATTGTTGCTAGGTTATCAATTGGTTACTAATGCTTTACTGTCAGAACAACATTTATTACAGGAAAAGTATGATCAATTTCTTTTAGGATATTATATGGCAGTGAATTCTCTTAAAACATTTTACGTAGATAGAAAGGAAACAGTGATGTTCTTCCTTATAATTCATATGATTAGAATTCTTTAGTTATTTATTAGCTAGGTAAGAAAACATAATTTGAATGCATTAATGCTGGTCTACTGATACTAGACAGGCTAACATGATATTGGATTACCTTTGTAAAGACATGATTTATAAGAACTAAGAAGCAGACCTTCTGTTATTCTTGGAGTAAGTCCGAATTAGATTTTTTGTTTAACCATGAACTCCTAAATGTAAGAGTTTTAGTACAATAGAAATGGTTCAATTGGAAATGAAGGCAAACTAATAAGATGGAAAAAATTTAAAAGCCTTCAAAAATTACAGGCTATAGGGAACTCTTGTGTTAATTTCCTGGATTATAATCCCTGACATAGGGTTAGGATGGTGTCTAGGGGTCATGAAGCAGAAATAAAGCAAATTTATGAGGAAACATGACATTTTAGTAATTCAGAAAAATATGTGGTAGTATCCTGAAGTTTTATAGGGTCTGATTTGAAAACTAGATATTTTAGAGAAAAATGTAAAAGGAAAAAATTAATTCAGGTAAAAAAAAGTTAAAAAAATATACATTTACACCCAGGTATTTAGATATAATGAAAAATTGGAGTTGGAGAGTAAAATTACTTGATATATAGAGTCTATCTATAAATACAAAGTGCAATTAGTGATCTGGCTAATCCAATGGGTGTATAATCTATCATAGGTAAAAACAAGTGGGTAAATATTTAACTAGTTTTCTCTATCATTTGTTATTGAGGGCATACTGGTTCTCTTTTATGGAATAAATATAATTATTAAAATACTTAAAAAATTAGTTCACCTCAATTAATGACTAACTTTGCAGAAATACATATATACATATATGTATATATATATATATGTGGAAGTGTTTCTGAACATGCATAACTGTGGCATTTTTATTGTTTTAGAAAATTTTTTGTCTCTTGACTGCACTGAACAGCATGTGGGATGTTAGTTTCCCAACCAGGGACTGAATCCACACCTCCTGCATTGGCAGGGCAGAGTCTTAACCACTTGATCGCCAGGGAAGTCCCTTTAATTGGATTTTGAGATGTGGGCTTTGGCTCATATTGCCAAAAAAAAGATAGTTACAATCATAGCTATTTTTAAAAACTATATAGAAATTTTAAACGTTGAAAATTATGTCCTTTTTATAAAGCCAGCATAATTTCCATAAAAAAAAAAATCAATGAATTCACTTATTTGGCAAGCAGTTATTAGTATCCACTACTGACTTAGCATAAGACCTTATGGAAGAGGTGAAATGAGTAGGAAAAAGGAGGTGGAAGATACAACAGGAAATGGAATTTTCAGTTCTTATTACTGGAAGAGTTTTAAATCCAAGTGAGGAGATTAGGTCGTAAGTATATGAAATAATTAGGAACAGTAGTGGTAGTGGCAGGCACAATGAGCTTTCTTCATATTACTAGAGATTACGGTATTTAGTCCTTACAACAAACCTAAACATGCTTACTGAATATGCCATTTTTCTTTGTAGGAAAAAAAAAAATCTGTGCTTCAGTAGAAAACTATAGGGTACACCTTTCCAGTCTCGTGATTCTAAGTCTGTGGGTGCTATCTAAGTAACAGATAACTGAAAACAAGGGAAAATAATTCTTGTCTGTATTTATACAGATGAATTCTGTCCTAGAGAAGGACAATCCTCCCTCCTGTGGAAAACGCCAGTTTGTATCCATCTGCACAGTCATTCCAGTCTTCCTTATTTCACATACATTTGTGCTTCTTTGATTTCTCTTTGAGCCCATTATGACATCTGCCTGGTTCCCTCATTAATCAATGAGTTAAAGAAAATCTCAAATGCTTATTCATTTTATATCTGTAAGAGAGACCTGACCTCACCTTTTTGTATATTATCCTAAAACATCTCTGGTCCCTCTTGGAGCCTCCCCCTAGAAAAAGACTGGAGGAGTTGACCTTGCACATGGCATGTACCTAACAGGCTCTGACACCAGGACTAGCTGAAGAGGAAGGGAAAGAAACACTCTGGAGTTGGGAATAAAGTGGGAATCTGAAATCTGCAGTGTGGCCCTTCTCCGAGTGAGCCGCGAACACCAACCCACGGACTCTCTACTTCTGACCCTCCAGTTAAAACGTAATGAATATTCTTAGATTAAGCCACTGCTGGACAGGTTTGCTATACCTGTTGCTGAAAGTATTCCCAAATGGTGAAGAGTTTGCTCTGTTCTGAGATTTATGAGTAACTTCAGATGTCTGGGGAGCAGGGTTTGCAGAAGGGACTGTATCACACACATGATGGAAGAAGAACGCTGGACTGGACTATGGGCTGTGTGTGTCACACGTGCCCCGGGAAGCCGCCTGGATTTTATAGCTGATGTGGGGTCATGAAAGGTCACAGAGCAGAAGAAAGCTGGTCAGATTCATGGGATGCTGATGAACTGGGGTTTGGGAGGGTAACCAGGTTTGCGGGTAGTTCAGACACAAAGCTCCTCCCAGGGTATTAGTTTCTGTTATAATGAAGAATAATATCAAATGGCCACACAGTGAAGCTTCTTTGTGTGAACACGTCTGAGTGAAGAGTTGGGCAGGGGTGGGAAGACAGTCAACGAAAAGTCCTAATTCTGGATTATTTGAAAAACTAAGCTTGTCTTTGATTACTTTTAAAGTTCAAACTGCACTTTAAAAAATTAGCCAAGGGTGTCCTTTCTAAGAAATACCTCTTTAGAAATCATTAGAAGAAATACTTGAGGGTATGATACATAGTATTAATAGTTGCTCTTTGTGACTCTTAAGAAGGCTGACTTCTACCTACAGTGTTCTTGTACTAGTTGTATTGAACCGGAGTCTTCTAATTGTTTGAAAAAAATCACTCTCCCAAGTCAATGCTGCCTTTAAAACTTTTAATTTTTTTTACACGGTTCAAATTTATTAGGAAGGTCTGCTTGCAAAGAGAGCAAAAAACAAATCTCAAGAACAACTCCCTCTTCTAAGCCTTCGTCTCCTCTGCTGGACGCCCAATTCCCTTTGTGGGTGTCTTTGCAGAACAAGTGGGATAGATCGTTTTCCTTTAGCTCCCCTCCCCTCCCCGCAGTGTAGCTACATAAAGGAAAAGAGACAAACCTTTCAAGGAGAATAAAGTTAAAGTTAATAAAGTCAGTACACTGAACCCAAAGACCTGAGCCATGAGAAAAACAGCCAGCTGTATTTCAGTAATTCTATCAAGAATTGACTACCTGCTACAGCACATTGAGAGATCGGGATTATTGATCACTAAGATTGCCTTGTTGAAGCATGTCCCCCTCCCCGCCCCCCTTCAGAGAGGTGCGATCGAGTTGCTACAAATAACACTAAGTAAGGTCTACTCCGTTATTCAGTTGTCACTCTTAATGTAAAACAGAGCAGTTATTTTTTAATTTAAAAATCAATGAACGTCTCAAAGGCAGCCTAGTTGCTTTAGCCTAAATGAGTCATTTGTCTTTGCAAAGCAGAACATGTGGATTATTATTCAAGGTGATAGCCGGCAATTTGGGGGTTTTATTTTTCTGCTGTGGTGTTTTGAAAAATGACCATACGCTGTCCTATGAACAGACTCGAAATTGTTAAAAAATGTTAAGTTCCTTTTGTAAGGTGCTACTAGGAAATTACCAATCAGCTCTACAGTCTATCTGTTTCAGTTAGATCCTTGGCTTGGGTGGAAAAGTGAGGAGAAAGTCAGAACCTGATTGATGACTAATGACACCTTAAAATACTAGGTGTAGACACACATGTATCTTTAAGTGGAAAGGATAAAGAAATAATGCTTTTCTGTGATGGATTAAATAAGCAATGCCACTGAGTTATGATTCGCAACATCATTTCCCACTGTACTCATGCTGAAAAATTTCCTGTTAAATATCCGATAGAGCTCAAAAGGAAATCTTTTCATTTTGTTTTGCTTTTGAAACAGACTTCATTTGGTTTATCTCATCATTTCTCTCTTTTTTAAACACTTTTTATCTTTTTAAACTTTTTATTTTGTACTGGAGTGTAGCCAATTAACACTGTTGTGATAGTTTCAGGGGCACAGCGAAGGGACTCAGTCATACATGCACATGAATCCATTCTCCCCCAAACTCCCCTCCTATCCAGGCTGCCGCATAACACTGAGCAGAGGTCCCTGTGTGTACAGTAGGTCCTTGTTGGTTATCCATTTTAAATATAGCAGATGGCTATCATACTTTTAGGTGAGGTGGTGGGAGGAAATGGGGCCTTTTATCCAGAAGAAAAAAAAGTAAAAAAAACAAACAAAAAGTCTGGGAAAAAAACAAATAAATAAACACAAAGCAGAAACAAAAAATCTTAGGGAGGATGAGAACCTGGCTTTTGACAAGGGCTGACAAGGGCTGGAACAGGCGGTGTCAAACACAATAATATTAAAGGAGAGACAGTAACAACTTGTCCCTTCGTGGTATACACATTTACAAATGGAGCTTTTCAGAGAATTAGGCCTCCTGAAAGCTGCCCCCTGGATAAAATGTGTTTCC